ACTATATTATCAAATATAACAGTTTAGTGCTATAAATATTTTATTTCATGAAAGTTTTTGATTAAAAAATTATTTTATATAATAAAATTAAAATTAAATTCCAAAATGGATAAGTATTTAAAATTTATATTTTTTTAATTTAAATCTAGAATTGAATGTTTAGCAAAAATTATAATTAACACAATCTAGACATCTCTCTTTTGCCTTGATGATAAAATAAATAATTCTAATTAATATAAAACCAGAAATTAGTTCATACAAACAATTAAATTTTCTTATATTTCATAATATTCATAATAAAACTTAAATCTTCTTTTTAATAAAAATAAATCACAAGAAAAATGAAAAATTGAAACATGAAATTATAAACTTAAAATACTGTTCTATCATTCACAAAGTGTTTAGATATCAAAATTAATTATTATATAAGTTAACTGTATTTTGTATGAACTTAGAAATTATATATAAGCACACATTTATTTAAATTTACTTACAATTTAAAAAGTTTCTGTTTATGTTATTAAGAATTTTGTTCTTGAAAAACCAACATATGGGCAACTATATTTAAATTCCACTTACCTGAATACTAATTTTCTATATTAAAACGAGTTTAAAAAAAAAAACATCCTTGTTTATGATACAAAAAACTGGCAAATCTTTAATATTTCAGCAGATTTTCTTAAAACATGTCTAGTATGCTTGCAAATATAATTCCAAAATATTAAAATCCATTAGTTTGTTAGCCAAAAAAACATTGCTTCAAAAAAATTTAGCAAACAAAATCACTACATTCATTACAAAGTAGCATCAAAATACATTTTTTTTTAATTCAAAAACTTGACTAGTTTTTAATTTTTGACTAATTTAAGTTTTTTTGAGTTAAATTTTGAGTTTAATGTCATAAAAAAAAATACATATTTAGTTTATTGGGCTAAGTATATGAATACAATTATTCATAACTTGTAAAGACAAAGATTATAAATCAGAAATGTATCCAGTATCTATATAATAGTAATAACCATTTTACAAACTATTTTCACAAATGAACATTTTGCATTTAATTACACTATACCAAATAAATTTTTGTTAATGTTTTATATAATTATAACTAGATGATTACAGCTAGTGTTATTTTTCAGCAGGAATGTGCTAATATACTGTATGCACCATTAGTTTTCCTGAACCCCAAGATGGAAACAAATTTTGGACTTTCTGAAAACAAACTCATGTATTGTAATAATGCTACAAGGATTCATTTTTTGTCACCTTGTGGAATATTAACAACACTATTAAAAATTGATAGTTTGATTATATTTATTTGATTTCATTATTTCCATTTTCGTGTCATCATATTATTAATGGTAACAAATACTAATAATTATAAAATTGATCACATATTACAGATAGCAACAAAAGGAAATTGTCACCATTTGCTAAATGCTTGGGAATATTAGAAGACCTCAAATATGATGAAATCAACAATACAGATAATATCAATCAAATATAAAAGTTAACTTAAAAATATGCTTTAAAAGTAAGAATGAATAAATTTATTCAGGAAATTTCATGAATTAATTTCTAATAAATAAATATTCCACAAAACATCTAATTTTACAAATCCATTATCAATGAAGTATCAAAAGTGCTAAAAATATACTCAAATAGAGTTAAAGCATTAATAAAATAGCATTTATTCAAATAAAACATGATTATATACAATGTTAATATTACTTTTACATATGTAAAAAACAATATTTGCAAAGAGAGACCAAAATCAAAAATCCAACCTGCAACACACATCACTGAAGTTCATTCACATTAATTTTCAATACTCTACCATGGAATTACATCACCTTTTAGCTTAATAACAGAAGTAATTAAGGCAATGAAGCAACAAGTTTTTCCAATGTTTCTGCAGGAATTTTTTCCACTCAATGGTGTTCAAATAAAGTGTGGGATATCAGTGAGTGACCTTGCACTTCAATATTCTCCACAGATTTTCTATGGGAGAGAGATCAGGACTTACTGCTGGCCAAAGAAGTGCATATACATCTTGTTTCAACAAGACTTTGGTTTTATTGGCAGTATGCGACCTTACATTGTCTTATTAGTCTTGCATTGAAAAATTTTTTCTATGATGAATATAGACATTACTCAAGAACTGATATATAATCACATATCTTAATATTTCCCCACAGAAATGTTATCTTCCCTACCCACCATGCAACCCATCAAAGATAAAAATTTTTATACCTTTCATGCAACAAGATGGACTGTTACTTTTTCTTTGGTACATATAACTTTCTTTCAGTATTTCCAGATACTATTTGAAATGCTACTTTGTGCCTTGCCCAGTCACCAATATACAAACAAAGAACAGTATAAAATCTAATGCTGTCTCTGCTTTGTTCAGAATTTAAAAGAATGGCAAGAAAAAGGTTAGGGACTACTGGTTCATAAGCAGATCTTCCAAAAACAATGTGAGTGGCTATGTGGCAGATTTCTTGGGAATTGTGTTTCAATGAGTTTAATGTCAGAATGTTTCTCAAACACTAAGGAAACTAGTTCCATTGCATTTAGTCACAATAATGGTAACCCTCAACAATTACTGTTAGGAAAGGTCAAATTTTGTGTTGCCATATCTTGAAATTCTGATCTGGTACATTCATGGAGGTAGCAGAATTGTGGAGTAAATGTCCTGTATTTTGATGAACTGCTAGCAATAGGCATGGAGTATGACTCTACAAGAGTAAGAAAAAGCCTATGTTAATTGCAGTTCAGTATGAGTTTGGCATGGAGAAGAAATGGTTTGCAAGAGCCAAGAACTATCTGTCCTGAACAGAAACTCAATAGCAAAGAGCGATTTTGTCTGATGAATTGCCCTTCCCTACTCCCATACAGAAATATTGGGTGAGGCCATTCATTGAATCATCTGATGACTCTTCAGTTAACAGATGGCCCAATGAAGGACTGGTCCAAAACTGTGTGAAGCAAGAAGTCAAGTTTCTAGCCATGGTGCAAGTGTAAGAGTGTTTTGAATATTCTAGTATTGGTGATTTAGTTCTGTATGATGACTATCAATGCACAATGCTATCAGGCAATTTTGCACCACCATTTCCTGTCTAAAACTGCAAGGAGATACAAACTTCCAATAAGATCTTGCCAAATTGCTTACTGAATGCACTACCACTGCTTGGATTCACCAAAATCTTTTCATGATTGCTATGCAGTGAATCTGCAAAAGATCATAAAGAGCTTTCTGGATTGCAACAGAAGTCATATTAACAAATTCAAAAATAACATACCAGGTGTTGATTGGGTGCAATTGCTTCTGAAATGTATAATGATGATTTAACTGAGACTATCTGCCAATATCAAAAAGGTATGAGATGTTATTTCCAAAGATACAATTATCAATTACAATAATGGCTTTTCTGCCTGATCAGAAATAATATAGGCTAGAATGATAACATAAATGATTGTGCTTATTGGTTTTGAGTTTTGTATTATTTTCAAACAGATATCAAAGTCATCCCAAACTAGTATAAGGTTAATAAACCTTATTTGCTTAATTTTTCCTTAATCTTTATTTATTTCAAATCTCTTACTTGCTCATTTTTAGAATGGAAGAAACAAACTTTATACAGATATAAACACATTTGATATTACTTTAAAAATAACAAAGTGTTTAAAAAAAATTTAAAATTAAATTATCAATCCTCCTCATTTGACAGTACATAAAATTAATAAAAATCTTTATCAAAATAGCACTCGTTTTCCTAAATAGATATTTCTGTGTTTATCAAACTAGTCAGTCCTCCTCTACAACTGTTTCAATGTTCTATGTAAGACTTATGTGAATTCATAAAACACCACAATCTTACTACTAACTCCAGAAGTGAGGAGTAGATGCATAAAGATGAAAGTCAAAATAAATTTTCATGCAGTTTGGAAGTTTTTAAGTTCAAGTAATTATAAAAAAGTTAAAAAAGTTAATAAAGTTGTTTTTTTTTCTTATATTAGTTTAAAGTTTTCATTCTTTATCCAAAGGGATCTTAAAAACATGTGAATTCAGAGTCAACTTAATATTTTTATAGAAAAGTAGCACTGATTACAAGATTAGCTAAAAATGTTCGTTAATTTATCAATCAGTTTGCTGAAGTACTAAAGATTTGCAATTCTTTTGTTTCTATATCATAAACTTTTAATAAAAATTATTGATTAATTTTCATTAAAATAATGTTTAAATATCAGTAAAAAAAATAAATCATTAATTATACAAAGCAATAAAGGGCAGTATATGAGTTATAAAAGAAATAATTTTCATATTTATGTGTATTTACCTAANCGTGTTGCACACGCAAATAACCCGAACATGTATAATCAATCTAGTAGTATTGTGATGTCATTAACGAAGATGAGATCGTTAAAAGTGACCAGAATTGCCACTGTCTATGAGAGAGAAATTTCATCTCTTGCTTTGACGTCATTCGTCGGTTAAAGAAGAGACGAGAGATAAGTGACCAGAATACAGCCCCTGGTCTGGTAATCCTGCACTTTCAATAATATGGTACCATTTTGCTCCCATTGATGCCAGATTAACAAGTTTCTACTGTATATTTAAAAATTATTGACATAATAAACATGCCAGTAAAAATACTTCATAGCAAGATTCAATTTGCAAGGAAATCATCAAAGATGTATTTTAAACAGACACACTAATCATTAACATAGACTCTAATGTCTAGATTATTAATGTTAATAAAAAAAAGTTATATTCACTCATACATTTTCATAAATATTTTTACTCGGCATTTAATTTTTATACTTTTTCAATTATTAGTATATTTCAGTATACTTACTCATAGCAGTCATTATTTGAAAAGAAGCCTGAACATTTTAAATTTTAATGAAATAAACACAATGAAATAAAAACCTTAATATTACATAAAAGATCTAATTTTTAGTTTAAATACTTAATTACACATAATTATAAATACCTGTTGATTCTGATTTTGTGACTGTGTATATCCACTTAATGGTGTTGAATGTGTTCTTTGTTCATATCCAGATAGCTGAGAACCAGGAGAATCTTGTTGCATTACATATTGTGGCGTTCCCTAAAAAAATTCACAATCAATGAATTTAAATTATTAATGTTATTTGTGAATTTTAATTTGTGTAAAAATTTTATTAAAAAATATGAAAATTTATACTAAGCAAGTTAATAAATAATCTAATAACTGAATGATAAGAAAATGAATTTAAATAGTAAAAAGCTCTATTTTATTTTTCAAAAATTTATAAGGTAATGCAGCAAACTGAAAGGGGTAGCTATTTGTTCACAATATTACAAATGGAGAACCCACAGGATAACAAATAAAATTATAAGTAAAATCAAATTAAATTTTATTCAAAATTGAAAAAATCTTAATTCAAAATCTTTCATTTCAGACTGCACATTCTGTCTGAAATGTTGTGTACACTAGATAAGTATGTAAAAAATTAATGTATTACAGTTGGCCCATGCCCACCATAAAGATACATGTGTTCTTTAGGCAAATGCTGCTTTAACACCCCTAATCAAAATTGAATAATGTTTTACATAACACCTTTAGACATTTAAAACATTTTATTTCTATATAATAATGTTATAAACATAAAGGAATATAATTATTATCACCTTACTGTCCTTTAGTTTCTTAATATATATTTTTTGTCAACTTGGACATTAATTTTTAATGTCCAAGTTGAAAAAAATATATATTAATAAAGGAATATAGATCTATGTATGACAGCCAGATGGCTAGGCAGTGAAGTGTCAACCTATCACTCTGAGGGACCTGGAATCGAATCTAGCTAGTCAAAACTTTCCAAAATAAATTTACCATGGATGCAATCTGCCCCAGATGCATCAGACCCCAGCCCTCACCACCCAGCTACCTGACTATAGTTCTTCCCATAGTGACCTTCTCATTCCCCAGTACATGGTCTTAATTGATATTTAAAATAAACACTCTCTCTCTCTCTCGCATGCATGTGCAAGCACACACATGCATAAGAGAGAGAAAAATACCCCTAATTGGTCTTCAATACACACTAAATGATTTCAATATGCATTTCCCAGTGTTAAAGTATTCATACAATATATATTTGCAATATAAACTACATAACTTCTCTGTTTGTGAGTTTAGCTTCAGCTCTTGAACCTAATATTGTTTGTTTTATCATCTTGAAAATGTGTAACAATAAATTTTAATAATCATAATTCAAAATATTCCATTGTGAAATATAGATCATATATTAGCCACCACAATAAAATTACTTCACAAACAGAGAAATTTTGAAGCTTTTACTGCAAATAAGTATATTGTATGAATACTTTTTATACTCACTGTAGTTTTATTATTATTGAATAATATTATCTATTACATAATTTTAGTTCCGTTTCTAAGCATATAAGTTGCTAAAGATGTTTGCATGTTGATGGTTGCATGATATGATATGATTTAAATATTAAATTTGTTAATTGTTTTTGCAGAAAAACATAAAACTACATATATTCATCTTTAGCTACAATAATAATTCATTTGTCAAATAAAAAATGAAGGATTATTAAACAAAAGAAAGAACAGTTTTTTTATTTCTTTCTGATGGTTAGTTAATGGAATTGGAATGTATGGTACAAGTACCTAGGTAGGCCAATTATTTTTTTGATTTTATAAACAAACAAATATCAAACAAGCATAATCAATTTTTAAAATATCCAAGACAGCTAAATGTTGAAATAAATGATTCTCAGTAGAATAATGTTTAATAATGTGAGACAATATTTTTGAGATATTTTAAAGTATTCTATGATAATCTAGTTTACTTTTTAAAAAATTTTTAATTAAATTTTTTTTCTTAAGAGGTGAGGCATTGTGCATACCAAACAGTAGTGCATAAAGCTTCTAAAATGAGAGCAAGAGATGTCTCCAAGCTTCTTCCTTGAGAATTACATTTAGCATCAAGCTACTATAGCTTTAAACTGTGTCTGTGAGAATCTGTGCTTTATGTCAATTTATTTTGTGAATCTGTTTGCAAAAAAAAAAAATTTATAAAAATGGAAAGTGTATTGCTTGAGTGGATTGATGGAAGTAAAAAAAAAAAAAACATAATGTTCTGTTATCTTTACTTAAGAAAAAAAATCAACCAATCTTTTCAACAATCTCAAATAAAATAAAAATTCATTGGATGATGGTGATTGATGTCCACTTTCAAAATACTTTCTACAGAGATGGGTTTGATCAGTTTTTCAGATGAGGGCAGTTACATAGCTTAATGGCTGCTTACTAGAGAAAGTACTTCTGATGTAGTTTCACTAACTACATTTCTACTTTATATAGGTTGTTTATTTATCATATTATTCCTGCTTTTACTGTGTATTAATATTATTTTAGGTTTTTATTATATGGGTATGATTTACTAAGTTAATTTTGAGTCTGGGAAAGCTCAAAATTTCTCCTATATAAATTAATAGTAATTTCTTCTTCACTTTATGCCATTTTGGTTTACAAAAGGTTCCACAGGAATGCTCTACTTTCAGACAGCAGGAAAAATCTGTATACAGTAAATACCAATCTAAAACAGAATCCAATAGTACTACCAGAATTTTCTCTTTTGATAAGTTTACATTTTAAAGAGGAATGTGTTTTTATTAATAATTTTAGAAATTAGGGAATAAATAGTAGTATTGCATTGTCACAGCTACTTTCAAGACAAAACTACAATACTAACAAAAAAAAAAAAACCTAACTCTCATCACAAAAAAATGGACCATGATTTAAGCAAAAAATAGAACATTATAATTTATAATTTAGCTGTTCTTATGCTAAAAATTTTTCTTTATCTAGGTTATGTTACAAATTGACACTGATTTCAAAAAGTTTTCTGTTTTTAAATTTGGTAAGGTTTCTGGCTTAAATTACTTTACAGAGCAAATCATTCTTTTCTATGATTTATTCTCCATTTAAGTGGGTTTCCATTTTGTAGAGAGTCCATTTTAGATTGTATTTATTATGACATTATTAAATGATTAATAAAATATTAGATTTATATAAAAATATTACTTCTTGAAAAATTTTATAATTTACATAAAGTGAAATATAAATAAATAGATATTCAAATTATTTTTCTGTCTATATTTACAGATTTTATAATGTTCATTTTTTTAATTCAAAGCATAATACCAGAAATTAATTATAGTTATTTTAATTACATACATGTAAGTACAAGAATAATAATGATAGATAAAAGACATTATAATACTAAGAAAAAAATATTTTTTATACTGTTAAATTGGACAGGTTATATTATAGTTCATTTATTTCAAGATTATATATATAAGGGAAAAAACATTTACCAGCCGATATCATAAATAAAATGACAAAATTAACAAACATAACTCTGTTCTATTCATAAATTGTTCTTTTAAAAAAATGACAAAGCATAATCAAAATTTGATTAATATNCTTAAATCTTCTTTTTAATAAAAATAAATCACAAGAAAAATGAAAAATTGAAACATGAAATTATAAACTTAAAATACTGTTCTATCATTCACAAAGTGTTTAGATATCAAAATTAATTATTATATAAGTTAACTGTATTTTGTATGAACTTAGAAATTATATATAAGCACACATTTATTTAAATTTACTTACAATTTAAAAAGTTTCTGTTTATGTTATTAAGAATTTTGTTCTTGAAAAACCAACATATGGGCAACTATATTTAAATTCCACTTACCTGAATACTAATTTTCTATATTAAAACGAGTTTAAAAAAAAAAACATCCTTGTTTATGATACAAAAAACTGGCAAATCTTTAATATTTCAGCAGATTTTCTTAAAACATGTCTAGTATGCTTGCAAATATAATTCCAAAATATTAAAATCCATTAGTTTGTTAGCCAAAAAAACATTGCTTCAAAAAAATTTAGCAAACAAAATCACTACATTCATTACAAAGTAGCATCAAAATACACTTTTTTTTAATTCAAAAACTTGACTAGTTTTTAATTTTTGACTAATTTAAGTTTTTTTGAGTTAAATTTTGAGTTTAATGTCATAAAAAAAAATACATATTTAGTTTATTGGGCTAAGTATATGAATACAATTATTCATAACTTGTAAAGACAAAGATTATAAATCAGAAATGTATCCAGTATCTATATAATAGTAATAACCATTTTACAAACTATTTTCACAAATGAACATTTTGCATTTAATTACACTATACCAAATAAATTTTTGTTAATGTTTTATATAATTATAACTAGATGATTACAGCTAGTGTTATTTTTCAGCAGGAATGTGCTAATATACTGTATGCACCATTAGTTTTCCTGAACCCCAAGATGGAAACAAATTTTGGACTTTCTGAAAACAAACTCATGTATTGTAATAATGCTACAAGGATTCATTTTTTGTCACCTTGTGGAATATTAACAACACTATTAAAAATTGATAGTTTGATTATATTTATTTGATTTCATTATTTCCATTTTCGTGTCATCATATTATTAATGGTAACAAATACTAATAATTATAAAATTGATCACATATTACAGATAGCAACAAAAGGAAATTGTCACCATTTGCTAAATGCTTGGGAATATTAGAAGACCTCAAATATGATGAAATCAACAATACAGATAATATCAATCAAATATAAAAGTTAACTTAAAAATATGCTTTAAAAGTAAGAATGAATAAATTTATTCAGGAAATTTCATGAATTAATTTCTAATAAATAAATATTCCACAAAACATCTAATTTTACAAATCCATTATCAATGAAGTATCAAAAGTGCTAAAAATATACTCAAATAGAGTTAAAGCATTAATAAAATAGCATTTATTCAAATAAAACATGATTATATACAATGTTAATATTACTTTTACATATGTAAAAAACAATATTTGCAAAGAGAGACCAAAATCAAAAATCCAACCTGCAACACACATCACTGAAGTTCATTCACATTAATTTTCAATACTCTACCATGGAATTACATCACCTTTTAGCTTAATAACAGAAGTAATTAAGGCAATGAAGCAACAAGTTTTTCC